TGGCTGAGGCGTTTGTTGGAGGAAATCGGAGTGTGTCAGAGGGAGCCGACTGTGATTTTCTGTAACAATGAGTCGGCGGTGAAGCTTGCGAAGAATGTCTGTCTTCATGGCTTGACAAAGCACATCAGGCCAAAGTGGCATTGGACAAGGAGGCTCCTGGACAAGGAGGTGCTGCTGGAGATTGTGAAGACCCAGCAGCAGGCGGCTGACATTCTCACCAAGCGCCTGGCGGAACCTGAGCATTGGAAGTGCATGAAGCTTGCAGGAATGAGTATGCATTGAGGGTGCATGCTTGAGTTATGGCATGTGGGATGATGGTTGGCAGCCAGAGGGGGAGTTTGTTGTGGGATGCAACCATATGCATTCACGTCTGTCTGCCTCCCATCATGTGTTTGTGCGTTGCATGCGTGGTGTGAGCGTGTGCAAGAAATTTGTGTCTTGTGTGGTTTGGATTTTCTGTGTGTGTGTATGTATGTTATTTGGCTTGAGCAGATATCTGAAGTGATTCCTCTACTCAAGAGCTTTCCGACGAACCAAGAATCGTCGCGATCGGAGCACAACCAAGAAAGTTACGAACATTGGAGTTCGTATGCTTATATATTTTGGTTGTAGCTACTTTGGGAAGTTGTGGCATTGACTCAATATGGGGTACAGACTTGTGGGGGTTGAGAAATTCGAACCCATCACTGTAGATGCTGCCAAGAGGTTGGGTGAAGCCAAACCAGGTTGGTAAGTGTGGCCAAGTTGTGGTGAGGTGGATGGCATGGGTTGGAAAGTGACAAAGGTCAAAGTTTGTTGCCTATGGGGAAGGGAATTGTGTGGCATGGGGTTTCCTTGGTTGGGGACTCTCTCTTGGGACCTTCCCTCTCGTCCTCCTCTTCCCCTCCTACCAGGTTTAGTGCTACTCTAATGTTCTTTTGTGGGACTTGTGAGTTAATTGTGATTGAGTTAAATTTCTGTGGCAGCATACCCCCTAGTGCGCCGAAAAGCATAACTCAAGATATGCTTCATATTTTGATACGATTCAAATTGAGAAATGTAGCCACTGTCTAGGGCTACAACATAATCGAATTTCGTGGGATTCTAACAGTGCACCTTTCGTCGACAACGTTTCTTGTGAAGTCGACGTTTCTGTCCAGAAATTGAGACCAACGATTTTGAGAAATTTGGGCACCTAATCTTCATAGAATCCGTCCTTAGTCTCTAACAAAACAGGCAATAGAGTAGGCGCGGTTCGGAGGGAAAACCCCCCCATGACCCCCTAAGGCCCCCCTACCCCCCAATCCTCCTCACAGCCCCTCACAGCCCTCGCAGCGCCCTGGAAATTCCTGGGCATGACCCGTGCATGCATATCTCTACTCCCTATCATATCCTATTCCTGCTTCTGCTTCTACTTTGTGCTTCCTATAATATCACATCTTATCATATCCCTCAAGGGCACGGCACGGCACGGCATGGCATGGGTGACCAGGGAGGGTCGCACAGAGAGCCGGGAGCGCCTCCACCCCTCCCTCCCTCTTTCTTCTGCTTCGGCTCCTCTTTCTCTTTCCCAACCCAACTTGTCATCCCATCTACTCCCTGTTTTCGTTTCAGCCACTCTTTCATATCCCAAACCCGGCCCAAACCAAACTCGCACCTCCCCCCTCCTCCCGCATGTATAATAACAGGCACATACATTCATGTTCCTAAAGTAATCAGATCAGATTCATCAATCCCTTACACTCTACACATGGCAAGCGGAGTGTCTTCATCTTGGCGACAGGAGAAGCTGGCACCTGCGCAAGGGGAGGGGAGGGGGGGAGTTGGGGTGGGGGAGACGGGGAGCGGATCAACTGAGCGCAGGGAGCAGGGAAAGTGAGCAGGGGGAGCAGGGCAAGTGAGCAGGGGGAGCAGGGCAAGTGAGCAGGGGGAGCAGGGCAAGTGAGCAGGGGGAGCAGGGCAATTGAGCAGGGGGAGCAAGGCAAGTGAGCAGGGGGAGCAGAGCAAGGGGGGGGGGGGGGGAGCAGAGCAAGTGAGTGCAGGGAGCAGGGCAAGTGAGCAGAGGGAGCAGAGCAAATGAGCGCAGGGAGCAGGGCAAGTGAGCAGGGGGAGCAGAGCAAGTAAGGGGGGGGGAGCAGAGCAAGTAAGGGGGGGGGGGGGGGGGGGGAGCAGAGCAAGTGAGCGGATGGCAGGAGGTGCGAGGGCTTGGCAGGATGGTGGGTGTGAGGGGCATGGCATGGTGTGCATTGCATGCTCTGATTTGAGGCGACTCACATCACATCGCACATGGGGCTGGTTCGGTGGGGCATGCCGCATGGCATGGCGCTGCGCTCCCTCCTCCTGCATCTGTTTCTCTCCCTTGTTCTCTCTCATGTCCCGCGCATGGCTGAACAGGGACGGCCACACAAGCAGCTGCCAACGCATCTGCTCCCTGTGCACTGTATCTTCATCTTGGCGACAGGAGAAACTGGCACCTGCACACGGGGAGGGGGGGAGTTGCGGTTGGGGAGCAGAGCAAGTGAGCGGGGGGAGCAGCACCCGAAACCCCCTTACATGGCAGGAAACAGCAGAATGAACAGTGGGGACGGAGAAATAGTGGGGTGAACAGTGAGGGATGGGAAAAAATGGGGTGAACAGTGTGGGATGTGGAAACAGTAGGGTGAACAGTGGGGCATGGGGAAACAGTGGTGTGAACAGTGGAGAGTGTGAGGTGAGTGGGATGAACAGTGGTGAAAATGAGCTAGGGCGGGCGGAACGAGCAAGGGCGGGCGTAACGAGCAACGAGCAAGGAAGGGGGGAACAAGCAAGGGCGGGCGGAACGAGCAACGACGTAACGAGGGTGGGCGGAACGAGCAAGCAAGGGCGGAACGAGCAAGCAAGGGCGGAACGAGCAAGCAAGGGCGGAACGAGCAAGCAAGGGCGGAACGAGCAAGCAAGGGCGGAACGAGCAAGCAAGGGCGGAACGAGCAAGCAAGGGCGGAACGAGCAAGCAAGGGCGGAACGAGCAAGCAAGGGCGGAACGAGCAAGCAAGGGCGGAACGAGCAAGCAAGGGCGGAACGAGCAAGCAAGGGCGGAACGAGCAAGCAAGGGCGGAACGAGCAAGCAAGGGCGGAACGAGCAAGCAAGGGCGGAACGAGCAAGGAAGGGGGGAACGAGCAAGGAAGGGTGGAACGAGCAAGGAAGGGCGGAACGAGCAAGGAAGGGCGGAACGAGCAAGGAAGGGCGGAACGAGCAAGGAAGGGGGGAACGAGCAAGGAAGGGTGGAACGAGCAAGAAAGGGCGGAACGAGCAAGGAAGGGCGGAACGAGCAAGGAAGGGCGGAACGAGCAAGGAAGGGCGGAACGAGCAAGGAAGGGCGGAACGAGCAAGGAAGGGCGAAACGAGCAAGGAAGGGCGGAACAAGCAAGGAAGGGGGGAACGAGCAAGGAAGGGGAGAATGAGGGATGAGGGGAATTATATCAGAGCTAATTCTCACCTTAATTCGTTCATAAATTGAATTTCCAATTTAATAATCCACTGCGGTCGCATGGCGCTCGATCCTGAAAGAAGCCGTCCTGCTCTAAGTGACGCCACAGAATTAACTTGGCGAGTTAGAGGCAGAGCCTAGAATCAATCCGACGGGCTCAGAGCAAGGAATCCGTAGCAACTTAGATCACTGAAATCGCCCAAGTAACGAGAGAGCAATTGTATATTATGCAAGAGTGGGTACACAAGTCGTCAATGGAATGAACTCTCTGTTTTGCTCTCTGGATTTATAACTAAAACACACATGCAGAAATGTAACATCTAACCGCGCGCGACTCGCCAGAAATTCGGACTGAGGATCGCGTCCAATTTCCGCGACATCCGCGTTCACATTTTCGGACTTCGCCGGGTTCATTTCTTCACGCCGACAATCGTGTGTTACAAGGAACAATAGCGAGTGTAGCGAAATGTTCGTAACATTCGCTTGCACTCTCACTATTTTCGTGCATGCTTGTGGGGCTGCCAAGTGTCGCCCTCACAAAAGTTCGGACCCAACCGAGGGAAGTTCGGTTGCGTGGCGACGCGGACAATCCGCCGTCACCCCAACCTTCCAAGAACGAACCCTCCCTTGGTCCGAGTCAAGGGAGGTCTTCGCGTGGGGGGCAATCCCGTCCCCCACACTTCCAACACTCCCCCTTGCACCCCACGCACACCTAAGCATGCAAGCCTACCCTAGCACAACATGCATGAAGAGCATCTCTAGGCAATGGCTTGGTGAGGAAGTCCGCGGGTTGCGAGTTGGTCTTGATGTAACGAAGTTCGACTTCGTTGTCTTCAACGAGCTTACGAATGAAGTGGTGACGGATTTGAATATGCTTGGTCCTTCCGTGAAGGACCGAGTTCTTGGCTAGGCCAATGGCGGCTTGGTTGTCCACGTAGATGGGAGTGGGACCTTCTTGTTTGTGTCCAAGCTCGGCAAGAAGGCGACGTAACCAAACCGCTTCCGTACCACCACGCCCGAGCGCCACGTATTCCGCTTCGGTGGAGCTAAGTGCAATCAAGTTTTGGCGCTTGCTTTGCCAACTTATTGCACCGCCCACGAGGGTGAAGATATAGCCCGAAGTGCTTTGGCGGGTTGAAGGATCTCCCGCCCAATCCGCATCCGTGTAGCCTTGTAGAACCATGGGTCCCTTCTACTAGTGCAACCCCATACGAGTGGTCCCCTTGATGTAGCGAAGGAGACGTCGTGACGCTCGCACATGCTCGATCATGGGGTTGGAGACGACACGTCCAAGCACTCCAACGGGAAAGGAGAGGTCGGGTCGAGTGCTCACCGCGGCATATATGCATGACCCAACAACCGAGTGGAAGGCCTTGGCGCTCTCGGGATCCATCGGGTTCTCGTCGCTTACGGCCAAGGGATGAAACGCCGCTTCCATGGGTGTCCGTGTAGGCTTGCTCTCGATCATGCCGAAGCGATCCACCACACTCTCCAAGTACTTGTGTTGGTGGAGAGCGAGAGTCTTGTTCCCGCGATCACGATCGATGTGCATCCCTAGGTAGTGGGAGACGGCGCCGAGGTCACGCATGCAAGCTTCGTCTTCACGTCCGCTACAAAGGTCTTGGAATCCGACACGAGGAGAAGGTCGTCGACGTAGAGGAGAAGAACGAGCTTCTTCTCATCCTTGTTGAGCACGTAGAGCGCGTGGTCATACTCGCTCCGCACGAACCCCAATGAGAGCAAGTGTTCATCGATCCTCGTGTACCACGCACGAGGGCTTTGTTTGAGGCCGTAGATCGTGCGCTTGAGCTTGCACACGCGGTCGGAGTCGTTGTCGAACCCGGGAGGTTGCTTCATGTACACCTCCTCCTTGAGACGACCGTAGAGAAACGCCGTCTTCACGTCGAGTTGTTCCACCTCCAAGTCGAGTGCTCCCGCCAACGCCAAGAGCGTGCGCAAGGTGGCGGACTTGGCGACGGGAGCGAACGTCTCGTTGTAGTGAAGACCCTCCTTTTGCATATAGCCTTGCGCCACCAACCGCGCCTTGTACCGCTCCACTTCTCCATTGGGGCCAAGCTTCTTCTTGAAGACCCAACGAGAGCCAACGAGGTAGGCGCCGGGAGGCATGGGGACAAGCTCGTAGACATCATTCACCATGAGTGAATCATACTCCTCTTGAAGCGCACGCTCCCATTCCGCCGCTTCCGCCGAGCTCATAGAGCCTTGGTAGGTGGACGAGGTGTCGGTGTACGCCTCAAGACACATAGCGTCTCCCCCTCCCTCATCGTTCCCCGCCACGAGAGAGTAGTCATCGAACTTGGAGTTGGGATGAGGGTTCCTCCGAGTGCGAGTGGATGCGAGGGTGGGAGTGATGCGAGGAGGAGGAGACGAAGGGTCACTTTCCTTGGCATGTCCTTCATCCCCACTCACTCCAACCGCACCCGATCCATTCTCCCCCTCACTCGTACTAGGAGGAGAACTCGTAGGAGCTTCATCCGCCTCATCCGCTACATCCAAGGGTGGAGGGACAATGATGACCGAGGGCACGTGCATGGACTTGGACGGGAATGTGTCTTCGTAGAACACCACATTGCACGACACCACGAGTTTCCCGTGCTCCAAGTCCCACACACGCCACGCCTTGTGATCTGCGCTTGGACCCAAGTACATCGCCACCCGCGCCTTCGCCTCAAGCTTGGTCCGTGTGGCATCCGGGACATGGTAGTAGCACGTACACCCAAACGTGCGAAGGTCGGTGACGTCCGGCTTCGTACCGCTCCAAGCCTCAAGAGGCGTCTTGTTCGGCAACGCCTTGGTCACGCACCGGTTGCGAATCCATGTTGCCAACGTAACCGCCTCACCCCACCAATGCTTCTCCGCGTGAGCATGGGAGAGGAGACTCCGTGCCGACTCCATGAGCGTGCGGTTCAAGCGTTCGGCCGCACCGTTTTGTTGAGGCGTGTACGGCGTCGAAAACTCATGCGCGGTCCCACGCCCTTTCAACCAATCGCCGAGCTCCCGAGCGGTGTATTCGCCACCTCCATCCGAGTGAAAGCGCTTCACCTTGAAGCCGCTTTCCGTCTCAACATCCGCGACCCATTGCTTGATGGCGGTTGACGTGGTGTCCTTGTTCTTGAGAAGCTGAATCCAACACATCCGCGTCGCATCGTCGAGGAGCGTGAGAACGTAGCGCGCGCCGCCCTTCGACGCGGGAGTGATCGGTCCGCACAAGTCCGTGTGAACGAGCTTGAGAGGTTCGGTGGCGTTCGGCTTCGTGCTTGGTGGAAATGGCTTCCGAGCCATTTTCCCTTCAAGGCAACCGACACACTTCTCGTCGTCTCCACCCGAGCGCACAAACTCCAAGCCATCGACAATCCCCTTCGTTGCCATAGCTTGAATAACGGCGTGGTTGAGGTGGCCATACCGATTATGCCACGTCGAGAGAGTGGTTGTCGAGGTAGCCGCTTGAGCCATCGCCACACTTGGGAGAGCGTCGAGCACGAAGAGTCCACCCGCTTGGCGTGCCGTGCCGATGTGTACTCCGTCCGCCGTGCTCAACGCCATCACGGTCCCTTCAATATTCACACGCATCCCCTTGCGTGTGAATTGGGAAACGGAGAGGAGGCTGGCACCGAACCCGGGAACCACCAAGACGTTCTTGATGGTGAGTGGACCGCCATCCACCATGAGCCGCAAGTCAACTTGTCCCGTGACGTCCAACGTGTCACGATTGCCGAACATCACGCGCTTAACGGGAGCCACCGTTGTCACGTTGTTGAGAAGCGCCGCGCACGCCGTCATATGTTGAGTAGCATCCGTGTCGAGTACCCACGCGTCAACACCACCGACGGACGTTCCACTTGCGACGAAGACGAACTCCCGGTCGTTGTTGTCGCATGTCGCCACATGCGCGTGCCGGTTGTCGTCACTTGAAGACGGCCTCCAATTTGCCGGCTTGACGGGACAATCGCGCCACCAATGTCCGTTCTTCTTGCAAAATCGGCAAGCTCCGTCGCGCGTCCGAGCTCGATTAGCGTTGGCCGGTCCTCCTCGTGATGAGCTTGAGGCCACCACGCTCCCGTTTGAGCTCCCGCGGTTGTTGCCGTCATTGTGCCGCTTGAAGTGACCCGTCCCTTTCGCCTTCGCATCGCGGGAGAAGTGTGCCGCGCCGATTGCATCGCCATGCAACTTCGCGCGCCTCGCCTCTGCGGAGATAACTACTACAACAGGAGCTAGACTACGGGCTAGGCATGGGTGCTTTTGTGATCTCTGCGTTCGTTGGTCCTTAGTCGTTTTCCTAGTGCACACACAGCTTGCTAGTTCACGGGGAGAATTGGCAAGAGTTTCACAAGAGAAAGTTGACAACAATGGTACAATGAAGTTGGCATGGCAAGACTACATCAGAGCCAGTATTCAGGTCGGTCGACTCCCAGCACAGCATGGTCGACCGCGTTCCACCACGACTTGGTCAACCGCGCTCCAGCAGTGCAAAGTCGACAGCGTGCCAACGATGCAGGTTGATGGCGTGCCATCGTTGCTCCTGTAGAACAGCAGCGCACCTACTTCGCAGGTGCTCGTAGATGATTGGAGGGCTTAGCCTCGTCACCTGAACAGCGCACGCACCAAGTCATCTTCGTGCTGACGACTCCACCTGATCCGCCACGTCGACCTCGGGATACCACCACCGGGGTCGGACTCGCCAACTTCGCCTGGGCGACCGTCGCACTCCTTCGCAGAACCTCGTCACCCAGATATCCTGGTCGACCGGGCAACCATGTCGACCAGCTGCTCCTGCATGTGCTCGTCGACCTCCCAAGTCGACGACCACACCAAGTCGACCTCACCAGGTCGACCACTCCTCTGGTCGACCAGCTCCAGGTCGACATCACTCCTGGTCGACCAGCTCCACGTTGACCAGCGCAGTTGTCAGCCGACCACCCAAGTCGGCTACCCAAAGTCGGCGTCACCAAGTCGACGCCCCTTCTACGTCGGCGCCGACTTCCAGACTGACCTCTTGAAGTCGGCGACCTCCCAAGTCGGCGACCTTGCAAGTCGGCGACCTTGCAAGTCGGCGACCTTGCAAGTCGGTGACCTTGCAAGTCGGTGACCTGGCAAGTCGGTGACCTTGCAAGTCGATGACCTTGCAAGTCGGTGACCTGGCAAGTCGGTGACCTTGCAAGTCGGCGCCGACTTCCAGGTCGACGTGCCACATCGCCGACCACCAGTTGAAGTCAGCCGCCGGCTTCCCAAGTCGGCGGCATTGCAGTGGCCCCGTCCAAGTCGACCAACCCCGTCGACCAGCTCGCCCAAGTCGGCGTTGCCCACTGCTGCAAGTCGGCTGTACCTTCCGTACACCCCACCACGAAGTCGGCTCCGCCCAAGCGTGGACGGGGCCAACACACAACTCCCGTTGAGAGCCTCTTCGTTGATGAGGCGTGCCACCACTTGCTCCTTCTTCCATGTATCTTGCGTCCCATCCAACATCGTGATCACCGTTGACCATGCTTCACCGAGGCCCGCGAGGAGCATCATGATCCAATCGTTGTCCTCCACGCTCGCGTCGAGTTCCACCAAGCGCTCGCCAAGCTCCTCCACGCGGTTGACGTACGCGCACATTGACTCGCCGCCCTTCATCCGCACCGTGAAGAAGTCGAGGTGCGCTTGAAGCTTGCTATGAAGCGAGTTGGAGACGTGCTCTCCTTCGAGTCGCTTCCACGCTTCACGAGTCGCGCCTTCACGGTCGATGCAAGGGCTCACGATAGGAACGAGTTGGAGACTTAGCTTGGAGACAAGAAAGGCGAACGCCTTCTTGTCCTTTCGCACCCACGCTTCATGCTAAGCCGTTGAAGCGTCCGAAGTGGGCTTCGATGCCGACCCATCGAAGAAGCTCCATAAGTCGCGCTCCATCATGTAGACCTTGAGCTTGAAGCGCCACGAGGAGAAATGCTCCCCATTGAAAATTGGCACCGCGCTCAAGTCGACAACGTGCGGCGTTGTCGAAAAGTCCGTCGGGAGGGAAGGGGCTGTTATCGCATTCGATGTCGACGAATTATCGGAAGAGCCCATGGCGTAGCAACGATTGAGCGAGCACTCCTACTCTAGCTCTGATACCATGAAAGAAGCCGTCCTGCTCTAAGTGACGCCACAGAATTAACTTGGCGAGTTAGAGGCAGAGCCTAGAATCAATCCGACGCGCTCGGAGCAAGGAATCCGTAGCAACTTAGATCACTGAAATCGCCCAAGTAACGAGAGAGCAATTGTATATTATGCAAGAGTGGGTACACAAGTCGTCAATGGAATGAACTCTCTGTTTTGCTCTCTGGATTTATAACTAAAACACACATGCAGAAACGTAACATCGAACCGCGCGCGACTCGCCAGAAATTCGGACTGAGGATCGCGTCCAATTTCCGCGACGATCGGGTTCACATTTTCGGACTTCGCCGGGTTCGTTTCTTCACGCCGACAATCGTGTGTTACAAGGAACAATAGCGAGTGTAGCGAAATGTTCGTAACATTCGCTTGCACTCTCACTATTTTTGTGCATGCTTGTGGGGCTGCCAAGTGTCGCCCTCACAAAAGTTCGGACCCAACCAAGGGAAGTTCGGTTGCGTGGCGACACGGACAATCCGCCGTCACCCCAACCTTCCAAGAACGAACCCTCCCTTGGTCCGAGTCAAGGGAGGTCTTCGCGTGGGGGGCAATCCCGTCCCCCCCACTTCCAATAGATCCGACGCCAATCGCATGGCGCTCGATCCGCCGCCAATCGCATGGCGCTCGATCCGCCGCCAATCGCATGGCGCTCGATCTGCCGCCAATCGCATGGCGCTCGATCCGCCGCCGGTCGCATGGCGCGGGTCTGTGGCGCAGATCACCTTCGCGTCCCGCATCTCGCGCGTGAGCCGGGGAACCGCCAGCGCGCGATAACTGCTACAAGCCGCGTGACGTGAGCGGGAAACCGCGGGAAATCGCGGGAAACAACGGGAAACCGCAGGAAGGGAAATCATGGGAAAGAGCGGGAAACGGCGGGAAAAGGCATGAAAAGGCGGGAAACAGCGCGGAAAGGGCACTTAGCCGTGCATGCAGCGCTGAAAAGGCACTTCGCCGCGCCTCGCACCAGGCAGTGCCGAGCCTCTCATGGCGCGCGATCCGCCGCCTGGTGATGCTCGCGCGCCGGCGCGTGGCGATGCTGGTGGGAGAGGGGCGGGGAATATGGTCTACGAGTGCTTATCCTCTGTCATAAGAACATCTTACGTCAGATCAGCACCACTCGTGTCGCGTCGCTGTGAAAGAGAAAACAAAGAAAAAATGACATGGCTACAAAGATAATGAAAATCAATTTGACGCAAAGCTAGTAGATGGCACAGCCTAGATAAGTTGGGGAGGAGAGGAAAGTACCTGCGACGCGATGAGAAAGTGTGAATGGAATGGATACGAGGGTGGAATGGTGGAGTGCGTTTTAGGAGATGGTGCGAGTTGGTTGGGATAAGGGAGAGCAGAGATGCTGGATTGGTTTGGGCTGGTGGAGGCTGGGTTGGGCTGGGTTAGTTTGCTTTGGGTCAGGTTGAGTTGGGCTGAGATGGGTTGGGAAAAGGGAGAGCGGAGATGCTGGGTTGGTTGGGGCTGGTTGGGGCTGGTTGGGTTGGTTGGTTGGTTGGGATAAGGGAGAGCAGAGATGCTGGGTGGGTTTGGGCTGGTTGAGGTTGGATTGGGCTGGGTTAATTTGCGTTGGGTCAGGTTGATTGGGCTGGGCTAGGTTGGGATAAGGGAGAGACGCTGGTTGGTTTGGGCTGGTTGGGATTGGTTGGTTGGGATAAGGGAGAGCAGAGATGTTAGGTTGGGTTGGGCTGGTTGGGGTTGGGTTGGGCTGGGTTAATTTGCGCTGACTCAGGTTCAGTTGGGTTAGGTTGGGTTGG